CCGCCCAGGGAGGTACTACCGTCCTGTGGTTTGTAGGTTGGTAGACAGCAACTGCCCAGGGAGGTAACTACCGTCCTGTGGTAGTAGGTTGGTAGACAACAACCCCCAGGGAGGTACTACCGTCCTGTGGTAGTAGGTTTGGTAGACAGCAACCACCGGGAGGTACTACCGTCCTGTGGTAGTGGTTGGTTAGACAGCAACCACCCAGGGAGGTACTACCGGGCCTGTGGTAGTAGGTTGGTAGAGCAAAACCATCCAGGGAGGTTCTACATCTTGTGGTTTGTAGGGTTTGGGAGACAGCACAACCCCAGGGAGGTACTACTATCCTGTGGTTTGTAGTTGGTAGACAGCAACCACCCAGGGAGGTTCTACCGTCCTGTGGTAGTAGGTTGGTAGACAAAAAAACCACCCAGGGAGGTACTACTGTCCTGTGGTTTGTAGGTTGGTAGACAGCACCACCCAGGGAGGTACTACCATCCTGTGGTAGTAGGTTGGTAGGACAGCAAACCCCCCAGGGAGGTACTACCATCCTGTGGTAGTAGGTTGGTAGACAGCAAAACCGCCCAGGGAGGTACTACCGTCCTGTGGTAGTAGGTTGGTAGACAGCAACCGCCCAGGGAGGTTACTACCGTCCTGTGGTTGTAGGTTGGTAGACAGCAACCGCCCAGGGGTGGGACTACCGTCCTGTGGTAGTAGGTTGGTAGACAGCAACCGCCCAGGGAGGTACTACCATCCTGTGGTAGTAGGTTGGTAGACAACAACCGCCCAGTGAGGTACTACCGTCCTGTGGTAGTAGGTTGGTAGACAGCAACCGCCCAGGGAGGTACTACCGTCCTGTGGTAGTAGGTTGGTAGACAGCAACCGCCCAGGGAGGTACTACCGTCCTGTGGTAGTAGGTTGGTAGACAGCAACTGCCCAGGGAGGTACTACCGTCCTGTGGTAGTAGGTTGGTAGACAGTAACCGCCCAGGGAGGTACTACCGTCCTGTGGTAGTAGGTTGGTAGATAGCAACCCCCCAGGGAGGTACTACCGTCCTGTGGTAGTAGGTTGGTAGATAGCAACCACCCAGGGAGGTACTACCGTCCTGTGGTAGTAGGTTGGTAGACAGCAACCTCCCAGGGAGGTACTACCATCCTGTGGTAGTAGGTTGGTAAACAGCAACTGCCCAGGGAGGTACTACCGTCCTGTGGTAGTAGGTTGGTAGACAGCAACCGCCCAGGGAGGTACTACCGTCCTGTGGTAGTAGGTTGGTAGGGCAGCAAAATGCCCAGGGAGGTACTACAGTCCTGTGGTAGTAGGTTGGTAAACAACAACCACCCAGGGAGGTACTACCGTCCTGTGGTAGTAGGTTGGTAGACAGCAACCACCCAGGGAGGTAATACCGTCCTGTGGTAGTAGGTTGGTAGACAGCAACCACCCAGGGAGGTACTACCATCCTTGGTAGTAGGTTGGTAACAGCAACCACCCAGGGAGGTGCTACCGTCCTGTGGTATAGGTTGGTAGACAACAACCACCCAGGGAGGTATACCATCTGGGTAGTAGGTTGGTAGACAGCAACCACCCAGGGAGGTTTTCTACCATGCTGTGGTAGTAGGTGGTAGACAGCAACCACCCAGGGAGGTATTCACCGTCCTGTGGTAGTAGGTTGGTAGACAAACAACCACCCAGGGAGGTACTACCGTCCTGTGGTAGTAGGTTGGTAGACAACAACCACCCAGGGAGGTACTACCGGGCCTGTGGTAGTAGGTGGTTTGACAGAAACCCCCCCAGGGAGGTACTACCATCCTGTGGTTGTAGGTTGGTAGACAGCAACCACCCAGGGAGGTACTACCGTCCTGTGGTAGTAGGTTGGTAGTCACAACCACCCAGGGAGGTACACCGTCCTGTGGTAGTAGGTTGGTAGACAGCAACCTCCCAGGGAGGGACTACCGTCCTGTGGTAGTAGGGTTTGGGAGACAGCAACCACCCAGGGGGGTACTACAGTCCTGTGGTAGTAGGTTGGTAGACAGCAACCGCCCAGGGAGATATACCCTCCTGTGGTAGTAGGTTGGTAGACAGCAACCACCCAGGGAGGGAAATACAGTCCTGTGGTAGTAGGTTGGTAGACAGGGAACCGCCCAGGGAGGTACTACCGTCCTGTGGTAGTAGGTTGGTAGACAGCAACCGCCCAGGGAGGTACTACCGTCCTGTGGTAGTAGGTTGGTAGACAGCAACCGCCCAGGGAGGTACTACCGTTATGTGGTAGTAGGTTGGTAGACAGCAACCACCCAGGGAGGTACTACCGTCCTGTGGTAGTAGGTTGGTAGACAACAACCACCCAGGGAGGTTTCTACGTCCTGTGGTAGTAGGTTGGTAGACAGCAACCGCCCAGGGAGGTACTACCGTCCTGTTGGTAGTAGGTTTGGGAGACGCAACCGCCCAGGGAGGTATACCATCCTGTGGTAGTAGGTTGGTAGACAGCAACCGCCCAGGGAGGTACTACCGTCCTGTGGTAGTAGGTTGGTAGACAGCAACCCCCAGGAGGTACTACCATCCTGTGGTAAGTAGGTTGGTAGACAGCAACTGCCCAGGGAGGTACTACCGTCCTGTGGTAGTAGGTTTGGGAGACAACAACCACCCAGGGGAGGGACTACCGTCCTGTGGTAGTAGGTTGGTAGACAACAACCCCCCAGGGAGGTACTACCGTCCTGTGGTATAGGTTGGTAGACAGTAACCGCCCAGGGAGGTACTACCGTCCTGTGGTAGTAGGTTGGTAGATAGCAACCACCCAGGGAGGTACTACCGTCCTGTGGTTTGTAGGTTGGTAGACAGCAACCACCCAGGGAGGTCAACCGTCCTGTGGGAGTAGGTTGGTAGACAGCAACCTCCCAGGGAGGGACTACCGTCCTGTGGTAGTAGGTTGGTAAAAAGCAACCGCCCAGGGGTACTTTCCCTCCTGTGGGGAGTAGGTTGGTAGACAGCAACCGCCCAGGGAGGTACTACCGTCCTGTGGTAGTAGGTTGGTAGACAGCAACTGCCAAGGGAGGTACTACCATCCTGTGGTAGTAGGTTGTTAGACAACAAACCACCCAGGGAGGTACTTAACCGTCCTGTGGTAGTAGGTTGGTAGACAGCAACCACCCAGGGAGGTACTTCCGTCCTGTGGTTTGTAGGTTGGTAGACAGCAACCACCAGGGAGGTTTCTACCGTCCTGTGGTAGTAGGGTTGGTAGACCCGCAAAACCCCCCAGGGGGGTGCTACCGTTTCCCGTGGTAGTAGGGTTTGGGAGACAACAACCACCCAGGGAGGTACTACCATCCTGTGGTAGTAGGTTGGTAGACAGCAACCACCCAGGGAGGTACTACCATGCTGTGGTAGTAGGTTGGTAGACAGCAACCACCAGGGAGGTACTACCGTCCTGTGGTAGTAGGTTGGTAGACAGCAACCACCCAGGGAGGTACTACCGTCCTGTGGTAGTAGGTTGGTAGACAGCAACCACCCCGGGAGGTACTACCATCCTGTGGTTGTAGGTTGGTAGAACAACCACCCAGGGGGGTACTACCGTCCTGTGGTAGTAGGTGGTAGTCAGCAACCACCCAGGGAGGTACTACCATCCTGTGGTAGTAGGTTGGTTTGACAGCAACCGCCCAGGGAGGTACTAAACCCTCCTGTGGTAGTAGGTTGGTAGACAGCAACCGCCCAGGGAGGTACTACCGTCCTGTGGTAGTAGGTTGGTAGACAGCACCACCCCAGGGAGGTACTACCATCCTGTGGTAGTAGGTTGGTAGGACAGCAACCGCCCAGGGAGGTACTACCGTCCTGTGGTAGTAGGTTGGTAGACAGCAACCGGCCAGGGAGGTACTACCGTCCTGTGGTATAGGTTTGGGAGACAGCAACCCCCCAGGGAGGTACTACCGTCCTGTGGTTTGTAGGTTGGTAGAAAACAACCACCCAGGGAGGTACTTACCGCCTGTGGTAGTAGGTTGGTAGCAGCAACCGCCCAGGGAGGTACATACCGTCCTGTGGTAGTAGGTTGGTAGACAGCAACCACCCAGGGAGGTACTACCATCCTGTGGTAGTAGGTTGGTAGACAGCAACTGCCAGGGAGGTACTAACCATCCTGTGGTTTGTAGGTTGGTAGACAGCAACTGCCCAGGGAGGTACTACCGTCCTGTGGTAGTAGGTTGGTAGACAGCAAACTGCCCAGGGAGGTACTACTGTCCTGTGGTAGTAGGTTGGTAGACAACAACCGCCCCGGGAGGTACTACTGTCCTGTGGTTGTAGGTTGGTAGACAGCAACCGCCCAGGGAGGTAACACCGTCCTGTGGTAGTTAGGTTGGTAGACAACAACCACCCCGGGAGGTACTACCATCCTGTGGTAGTAGGTTGGTAAAACAACAACCACCCGGGAGGTTACTACCATCCTGTGGTAGTAGGTTGGTAGACAACAACCACCCAGGGAGGTACTACCATCCTGTGGTAGTAGGTTGGTAGACAGCAACCACCCAGGGAGGTACTACCATCCTGCCAAGTGAGTGTAAAATGAAAGCCTGTAATTGTTTTACATGATGGTAGGATTGCTGGTGTCTTTTTTCTGTCTCATAAACATGCAAGATTTTCAGGTACATCTTGCTACTTCTACTTACACTTAGGGCACACTACACATACATGTACAAGCATATATATACATACCCCTCTGAGTTTTCTTCTATTTTCTTTCTAGTTCTTGTTTATTTCCCCTTATCTCCATGGGGAAATGGAACAGAATTCTTCCTCCGTAAGCCATGCGTGTTGTAAGAGGCGACTAAAATGCCGGGAGCAAGGGGCTAGTAACCCCTTCTCCCGTATAAATTACTAAATTTAAAAAGAGAAACTTTTGTTTTTCTTTTTGGGCCACCCTGCCTTGGTGGGATACGGCCGGTGTTGAAAGAAGAAGATTTGTTACTAGGCTTCACAATATAAACCTCTTGGGAATTTTTTTTCTTAAAGATCCAAAATAATGAGGATTGTAACCTGCCTCTTCATGAGACCTGTAAGAACACTTCATGAATATGCTTGGGTGAAACCTTCCGAAAAACAATGAGAACCTGTCCAAAATATATTTTACTGAGATTTCTTTCGAGTTTTTCAACATTTTCAATTTTTTTCCCTTGGATGAATTTTTATTAAAATTTTTAGTGCTATGAAACTAACATGGCACCTCTCCCTTCTCTCCATCTTCCTCTCCTTTTCAGCACCACAAAAATTGATACAGGAGTAGAAATAATTTCAATCCCTTTATTTTGTAGATTATGAGATGTTTACATCCTCAGTCACTTTTAACCATTCTGTTTCTCTCACTCCCTCTCTTGATATGGACAGCTAGGTCTTTTCTGTCTGTTTTTCCTATGTACCTTCCCTCACCTTCCTCTTCCCATTCCCTCTTTTCTTTCCCCTACTATCCCTTATACAGTGGACCCCCGGTTAACGATATTTTTTCACTCCAGAAGTATGTTCAGGTGCCAGTACTGACCGAATTTGTTCCCATAAGAAATATTGTGAAGTAGATTAGTCCATTTCAGACCCCCAAACATACACGTACAAACGCACTTACATAAATACACTTACATAATTGGTCACATTCGGAGGTAATCGTTATGCGGGGGTCCACTGTACTTGAAACAACTGAGTAGAACGAACTGCTACTTGCACTTCAGCCGAACCTTAATTCTACTCACTGTCCTGCCAACACTGCATAATGTTTACCTGATGATGGTTTTGAGAGTATTTCTACCTATGTTGTCTGGCTTTAAAGTAGGCTATCAAGGGGGAAAAGCTACTTCATGTTTATCATGAATTTTTCCCATCTGCATTCATACACTGCATTTTTTTTTTTCAACAAGTCGGCCGTCTCCCACCGAGGCAGGGTGACCCACCGAGGCAGGGTGACCCACTGAGGCAGGGTGACCCACCGAGGCAGGGTGACCCACCGAGGCAGGGTGACCCAAAAAAGAAAGAAAATCCCCAAAAAGAAAATACTTTCATCATCATTCAACACTTTCACCACACTCACACATTATCACTGTTTTTGCAGAGGTGCTCAGAATACAACAGTCTAGAAGCATACACATATAAAGATACACAACATATCCCTCCAAACTGCCAATATCCCAAACCCCTCCTTTAAAGTGCAGGCATTGTACTTCCCATTTCCAGGACTCAAGTCCGACTATATGAAAATAAACCGGTTCCCCTGAATCCCTTCACTAAATATTACCCTGCTCAACTCCAACAGATCGTCAGGTCCCAAGTACCATTTGTCTCCATTCACTCCCCATCTAACACGCTCAAGCACGCTTGCTGGGAAGTCCAAGCCCCTCCCCACAAAACCTCCTTACCCCCTCTCTCCAACCCTTTCGAGGACGACCCCTACCCCTCCTTCCTTCCCCTATAGATTTATATGTTTCCAGTCAATCTTTTTGATCATTCTCTCTAAATGACCAAACCACCTCAACAACCCCTTCTGCCTTGACTAATGCTTTTTTTAAACTCCACCCTTTTCCAAATTTCCACACTCCAATTGGGGATACACTGCATTTTTTTTTAAATTTTTTCCATTACAGATTTTGTTTTTGGGTTTTTGGTTTGTCTCCAGGGAAAACTTTTCAAAAAAAAAGATAAATATATCAATTGCAAACATAAGTGCATTATAAACCCCTAATTTGTAAGGGTAATATTTGGTATCGCTGGGCGATGGAATTCCCCAAATTTTTGTCACTAAACTTAAAAAAAAAAAAAATCTTTTCATCTCACCTTAAGAGTCATATCATCAGAACATGATGCAAGAAGATTACCCTGTGGATCCCATTTGATAGCATTGACTTCATTGGTGTGTCCCTGGAAGGACTTTATGGGTTATCGGGCCGAGCCCAGTGATACATGGTAGTTAAAACAACTAGCAAAAGATGTATTTGTCTGCCAGTCTACATCTAAGGCAGGGGCTGAGTGGAAGGCAAACTGTTGAGTGCAGTGCCCTGAGGATGCATCCCATATGATTGTAGTCTGAAACAAACAAATTATTCTTATCTGAGTTAAAAGAAAAATTAACAAATTGGCCCACAAAGTCTGGGTGATCCCAAAAAAGGAAGACACATTCACCATCACTCATTTCCTAGATCTCTCCAGAGGTACATAACCTTCACTGTTCAAATGATAAACCAAACATGTTTACACAACACAGAGTGCAGACACTGTAATTCTCACCTTCAGAATTCAAGTCCAGCAAACATTCCTGAAAGAGGAAAATGTACCCACTGTCATTGACATTAACAGTACCGCAGACTTGCCTCACCCTTTACAAACTTTGAGAACTAGTAACCACTTGTAACAAAAAAAATCACATTTTGTTTTAGATAGGTATTAAATTTTTGGATGAAATAAACAGCCTGCCCGCATTATTCCAAAAAAAATCAATTCCATTCGAGCTTTTTTATTGTCACTTGTGTTGTTCCAGTATAAAATCACTTATGTCCAACAAGCTATTTTCTTTATCTCTGAGCAATTAAAAAATTTCTTTTTCTACCCCTTTCCATTTACTGCATTATATTTCACAACTCGTTTTTTTTTAAAAAATTTTTGCTACTGTTACACCTCTGAAAATTTTGATTTAAACCACAAAGAATAAGATCATAAATACTTTACACACCCTTTAAAAAGTTCTACCACACACAAAAATCCCTTTAAATACTTTCCAGTTTTTTCCCCTTTTTTTACCCTATAGCAACTTGTATACTAGACAGTAGAGCCCTCTGCAATATGTAATTTTTTTTTCCTCGCTATTTTTCTTTCCCCGCAGAAGACAGAGGACAGGGTAATGAAATATGAGGAGGGAGTGAGGAAAAAGGAGGGGGCAGGAAAAGGGAAAAAGAAAAGGGTTAGTAATCACCTTCTGCCCCTAGAACATCCAGGCTTGAGATGATGGAAGGGTGATCAGCCCTGCCGTGTAAGTTCATGGTTACGGCACCTGCAAACATACAGATGTGGGATTGCTGGTTGGATTGCTAGCAGTAGGGAATTAAGGGGATGGCATAAATTTATCACCCTTGGCACTGGCTTTCTTAAAGAGAGTTGACTTGGTCAACTAAAGGAATACTATGGAGGGCATATCCTGGTCATCACTACCACTGTTAACCTGCACTTTGTAAATAAGATCTGTGACCCTACCTCAGTGGGAGATGGCCGGTGTGTTAAAAAATACAATCGACTACAAAATTTTTGATGTAAACAGAATTCAAACCTGAAGTCTGGGAGTCCTACAAATACCAAGCAACTGGCTGGCAATATTAAAACTGCTACTCTACAGGCTCAAATCCTGTTTATTTCTTAAGGAAAGACAGGTGACTATCTCCACATTATTATTGGTAAGGAGCTCTGTGGTATACAAGATGATACAAGTAATGAGATTATGCCAGAAAGAAACATTTGTATACCCACAAAACTGCTGGCAGTATTTGCAAGCTACTGTTATGCAACTCAGTCCCTCCCCAACAAAAAATTGCAGAAGCTCAAAGCTTGCAGTTTGTTAAAATGTAGATAGAGATTATTTATTTTCAAAAAGGCATTTCAAATTTATGCTCTTAACATACGAGCTGATTCTTTCTCAAGTGTTATCAACCATTTTATAACAAAAACCAATATATTTTTGTCTCATACAAAACAATCTATTTCAGGAAAATACTGTATATTCAAAGATGATTAAGAAATACATCACTGCACACAGTCAATTTTAATGAGATTAAAGCAAAACTGAACTTACTTTGTCCACTCCTGCACTCAAAATGTAATTTCCCTTTTTATTCCACTTCAATGCAAAAATGGGTCCCTTGTGTTGGCCAAGTGTGGATGCTAACCGCCCATCAGTCATCCAAATTCTTGCATAACCATCATAGGATCCAGTTGCCAGGAGTGTTCCATCACACTTTTAAGAGTAACTATTATTAGTATAACAAAATGAAGTTACTATTATTAAAATAAAGAGCAATAACTTTCAGAATACATACAACTTATTCAGCGGCACAGATACTGGCTCCAGAGAAAAATTAGAAAATACAAGCAATGGCTGTGACAGAATTAATGAGAATGAAAGAAAATGAGAATGAGTGTGGTAGTGTTGTAAGGTGTTTACCAAGCTTAAATGGTAACTCAACAGCACCTAAATTTTTTAGGGATAAGCTGGTTTCAACTCTCTCTCCAAATCCAAAATAAAGGTAAAAACAGGATTAGCAACATTAACTGTAAAGAAATGCTTGACTGTTAGCTGACTGTTGGGGGTGACCTGGAGATTTGTCTATGAAATAAGCAAAGGTTGGATAACAGCTCTTAACCAGTAAACTGAACATCTACAAAGTATAAAATATAACTACTATTTGCATCTCTCCTGATTTAATTTTCACATTCCACACCTCTCACTAATCTGAGATTTTCTGCAGATCTACATACAGTATATTCAATAAACCAGAAGATAAAATAATTGCATAAAAAATGAATTGCTAGCATAGTTGATTATTCCTTTAACCAGACTGAGTAAAGTATTTCAGAACTATAAAAAAAAGTTCATGTCAAGATTCTGATAAAAACTGACCCTCAAATCTGAACATGTTTAGCATGATATTACAGGAAACCCTCACTTTAGACAACAGGGAACGACCAGGTAGCTGGTAATGATGCCTATGGTGGATAGAGATGAAAATCTTCTTTCAACAAACCAGCCGTATCCCACCAAGGCAGGGTGGCCCAAAAACAAAAACAAAAGTTTCTCTTCTTAATTTTAGTAATGCATACAGGAGAAGGGGTTACTAGCCTCTTGCTCCCAGCATTTTAGTCACCTCTTACAACACGCATGGCTTACAGAGGAAGAATTCTGTTCCACTTCTCCATGGAGAAGAGATGAAAATGTGTTGTAATAATGTTGGTGGAATTACTGATAATATGTTAGGTAAAAGGACACAAGTGCAACTAATGTGACATTTTATTATGGCAACGTTTTGCTCTCCAGGAGCTTTGTCACGCCAGTAACGGCTTGACATATAAAATGTCACATTAGTTGCATTTGTGTCCTTTTACCTAACATGAAACTGTATTGTTGTGAATGCAATGATAACTAACAATGCTGTAATCAGCAGACTTTGTTCAGTTTCTCAATCAGCCGAGCCAACAGATTTTGTGCAGCACTTCCAAAGTCTGTTAAATCTGGGTTTAGAGTGCATAAAAATGAATACATCTCCACAACCTAGTTTCTTACATTCCAATCTAGAGAAGTTACATCTTTGTTGCTGGGCACTTCTGTACCACCTTTCTGGATACAATGCCTGAGAACCAGCTGATTTGGCGATGTGGTGTTGTCATTCATGTTCCAGATACGTGCAGTACTGTCTCCTGACCTGAAGCAAAAGTACACAGAGTTTATACATGAGAAGATTAAAAATAAAAATTCAACACACCAGCTGTGTCTTACTGAGGCAGGGTGACCAGAAAAAGAAGAAAACTGTAAAGTTTTTCTTATTTTTACATTTAGTAATTTATACAGGAGTTAAAGATTAAAATATATGCAACATAAAAGACTGACAATCAGAGGCACTACAGTGATCTTTGTGAGTCCATACACTGCATTCTTCCATCCTAATATCTCATCTTACAGTAACTCTTCTTCCCTTCAAGAGAATGGTCTTACTGTTGAGGAGTTCTTGATCTAAGGAATTGGAGGTACCCTTTACTTCCTTAGAGCAAAACCTTATTACCTTCTATTCCAAAGATCAATTTTAAAACAAAAAATAAAACACACCACTAAGATAATTTACACACTTTGATTGGAACTATTGTTTATACAGGTACAGTGCTGATTTTCCAGCAACATGAGTTCCTAGGATCTGCTGGTATATCAATTTTGCATGATCAACAGAGGTCATATAATAATATTCAACAATACACCTTGGACCCACCAGTCTGGTGCAAACTTTATTTAAACATTAGCCTGGTGGTTAACGCTCTCGCTTCACACGGCGAGGGTCTGGGTTCGATTCCCAGCCAGAGTAGAAACATTGGACGTGTTTCTTTCCACCTGTTGTCTATGTTCCCCATCAGTAAAATGGGTACCTGGGTGTTAGTGGACTGGTGTGGGTCGCATCCTGGGTGTTAGTGGACTGGTGTGGGTGGCATCCTGGGTGTTAGTGGACTGGTGTGGGTGGCATCCTGGGTGTTAGTGGACTGGTGTGGGTGGCATCCTGGGTGTTAGGGGAAACGGTGTGGGTGGCATCCTGGGTGTTATGGACTGGTGTGGGTGGCATCCTGGGTGTTAGGGGACTGGTGTGGGGGGCATCCTGGGTGTTAGTGGACTGGTGTGGGGTTGGCATCCTGGGTGTTAGTGGACTGGTGTGGGTGGCATCCTGGGTGTTAGTGGACTGGTGTGGGTGGCATCCTGGGTGTTAGTGGACTGGTGTGGGTGGCATCCTGGGTGTTAGGGGGACTGGTGGGGTGGCATCCTGGGTGTTAGTGGACTGGTTGGGGTGGCATCCTGGGTGTTAGTGGACTGGTGTGGGTGGCATCCTGGGTATTAGTTGACTGGTGTGGGTCGCATCCTGGGACACTGACCTAAGGAGGCCTGGTCACAGACCGGGCCGCGGGGGCGTTGACCCCCGGAACTCTCTCCAGATAAACTCCAGATAAATAAAATAAAATAAAATAGCATAAATGAAACAGTTTATTTAGTACTCTACTTACGAAGACTGCTGCAGTACCACCACCCTCAAAATGTTAGATTTTAGAATTTTACTGCAACTGTGGAACTAATCACAAAAGTTATTAGCAAAATATGCTAATAATTTTATAAAATCAAGGAATCACCACCAATAATTGTAGTGTAAACAATATAAAGTCAGCACACACTTAATACAATGCCATCCGTTGCCACCCAGTAAACTATTTTGGCAAAAAAAAAAAAAAAAAAAAAAAAAAAAAAAAAAAAAAAAAAAAAAAAAAAAAAAATTATCTTGTTATTCTGTTGGAACTAAAAGAGGTGCTGGATGATCTGTTGCTGGTACATCAGAGTTGTACCTGTATCTTCTATTACACATTCCAGTCAACTAAGCAATCACTTACAATCTCTACAATACACCTTATCTTCAACCACAATTAATTTTTATCGCATGTTATCATTCATCTTCGCATCACTTAAGCTGAAAATCATTAAAAATCATAAATGAAAATCAGAAAATACCATGTACATTTTTGCACTGTTGCTGCCTTGTGAGATGGACATGAACAAGTTGACAAGCTCACAGTATTACAAACTAAAAGCGAAGCAGATAATTACCCTGAAGCCAGAAGATCTGTAGTGGGGTTCCAAGCACATATAAATACCTCAGACTCATGACCTCTTAAGATTGTTGCTTTGTTCAATGGAATTTCCACGCTAATATCCACATCCATAGTTTCACCCGTTGTTCCTGAAAAAAAAAAAGTGATTTAATGAATGAACTCCAGGAAAACATTAGTGTTAACAGAGCAAAATATACAGGTGAATAAGTACACTTTTTTACACGAGTTAACATATCCTATATTCAAAGATGAAAATGAGAGTTGCATGCATATACACAAAAGGAATAACAGATACTGAAGAAAAGTTTTGAGGTTAACAGCTACACTACCAGTAATGTGAGTGGACGATTATAAGACATTCATAGATAATTCAGCCTTAGTTGCTCATACAAGGTACCACACTGTAGGTTATTACATTACATATTTGTAGCTACAATAAGCTTGTAGTATCTGTTTACATATAAGGTCTATAAGTTACTGGAAGGTTCCAATACTTGTAGTATTTACTAACATCTGTTGTCCTACCCTTACTGATGGTTCACTTCTTTTATATTCACAATACTGCTTGACAGTCTTGTCACTATTTTATGTATTAAGATAATTATTGTGAAATGTTTATATGTAGATGGTTAGCACACTCTGAATAATATCATCACTGTTGACACCAGGGCCTCTGAGATGGGGGTTCAGCCAGTACATTGGTCCAGAGCCCGGCTGTGAATCTCTGAAGGGGCCACCATTGCCATAGACATTTTTTTATTTTTTTCATTTTATTTTTGATGTTTTGGTAAATTCAACTATTTTTAGTTTATTTAGGAAAATAATTATGTAAAATTCACTTAGACTGCGGGCCTCAGCCTGCCTCCAGGGGCCCCCAAAGCAATTTTGTTCTGCCTTGCAAAATTTCTCGTGGAGGCCCTGATTGACACCTGTCTCTTACAAAAAGATAGGCAGATATGACAGCTCCCATGATGCTATGACACTGATACACCCACAATAAGTAATTACAAAATTCTATTATTTCTGTCTCTTCTCCCATTACTTGTGCTTGTTTGTTTCTCCTTATTCTTTTCCCTACTTAGATTACCAAGCCCATCAGCAGAGGCATCGTAAGGGGGGGTGGGGGCTGCCCCGGGTGACACCATTTAGGGGGTGACACCATAGAGCTACTAAAGAAGGTGACACTAATGCACAAAACAGTGCTGCACCAACATAAGAGAAGAATCCCTCATTGATTTTGATGAACTGATAGATTGATTTTGATGTGATAGATGATTTTGCATAATTGAAGGCAAGGAAATGTAAGATCAGATTTACTGTGATGTTACCTGTACTCAAGGTCAAATGTAAGATCAAATTCACTGAGATGTTACCTGTACTCAAGGTCAAATGTAAGAACAAATTCACTGAGATGTTACCTGTACTCAAGGTCAAATGTAAGATCAAATTCACTGAGATGTTACCTGTACTCAAGGTCATATCAGAACTAGTGTTTCTCTGATATTGCAATGTTTTTCTTTATTTTTCAAGTTTTTTATTTTTTTATTTTTGGCATTGTTGAAGATGAATAAATGTAGGATCTGTTGCCTGTACTCAAAGTGGTATTTGAGTTTGTTTCCTCAATATTACTATGATTATTTATTTTATCATTAATAAAGTTGAGAAGTATTCTCCTGTTCAGTTTATGGCCCTTAAACGTTCTCATTGCTAAACATTTGTCGCTGGTCATGCAGTAGTGACGTAACTGGAGTTTACCCCCCATCCCCCCACCCTTGAATTTCATGGGGGTGACACCAAAGATGCTTCCCCGGGTGACACCAGAGATTCCGCCCCGGGTGACACCAACTCTAGCGACGCCTCTGCCCATCAGTGAAAAACCAGCATTCAGTACTGTTGTATCCAGTCACAGGATCAATGGCAGACACTTTCCCCCAGTTCCCTCCCTTCCCTGATCACGTGTTGCCTTCAACACTAAATGGGTCATCTTATGATACAGTCTCATGCCAGATGATTTTCCTCAATGAATTAACTAACAATAGCTTTCCTACTTGCTTCCTATTTTCATATTCACTCAACAAATTAACCAACAACTTTCCTACTTCTCCATGGGGAAGTGGAACAGATTTCTTCCTCCGTAAGCCATGCATGTCATAAGAGGCGACTAACATGCTGACATGCTGGGAGCAAGGGGCTCCCGGCATGTTAAAATGAGAAACTTTCGTTTTTATTTTTGGGCCACCCTGCTTTGGTGGGATATGGCCGGTGCATTGAAGGAAGAAAAAAAACTTTGCTACTTGCTTCCTATTTCCATATTCGCAAAATAAATTAACTAATAACAGCTTTTCTACCTCCTTCCTATTTCCACATTCATTAAATAATCAATCCTCTTTATTTCTGATCATCCAGAGCAGAGTAAACTTGTCACCTGCTGACCCACCTTCATCACCATTCGTACTCGGAATTTCTGTCTTGACTACTGCTTTGGGCTGTTGGTTCTGCTGTTGTCTAGATGCTACAACATCAGGCATTACAGCATCTATCAGTGACAGACTGTCAATTAATCTCTCCGATCCGTCCTGCAAGATTCAATGCACTATTAGAATTGTAAGATTTCTTAGCATCATCCAAGATCAAATTTTGTATTTATATAATCCGAATCATTGAAATATACAATAAAATAATGTTTTAGCATGTATTTTTAAATTTTCTCACATATTTTTTTAAGAATCATATGAAGAGCACAATAAAATCTAAAAGATTAGGTATTCTGACCGTAAAATAATGAATTTTTAAGCAAATTTTTTCAATTTTAGCGATATATTTTAATTTATGTATATGGTCTTATATTACATAAACACACAAGGTCATAAAAGTAAAAGAATAAAGATTAATTAGTTATTTAACAGTGTACAGGACATTCAACAGGAAAATCAAGAGGCCATCAATGCACAATTTTAACTTACCTCTCCTATACTTATTTCTGCTTCTGTGTATTGAAGGCCTTTCTGTATGATACTCAGAAGTGCCGCAGGAGGGACCAACGCACCATTGATGTTTGACTGTGATATGTGGGACTCTATCCCAAATACATAAGCTGCATGGTAAAACCCTGTAAATTCATGAAACTGTAATACATATTTACAACAGCACAGCTAACTGAAAATAATGTATACAAAATCTTCAGCAATGTGCCTTTTATACAATTTTTTTCACAATCATCTTGACATAACTCCAAATTTGGATGAAATTCTGCATTATTATAATCATGGGAAAGAGAAAATGAAAGCTGTACTATAGTTAAAAGTTTGATTAATGTGTATGAGAAAAGGCTTGAAATTCATATAAATAAAAGTATGTTAATGAAAGCTTAAAGAAATATGTGTAAACCTTGTAAATAGAAAGGTGTTGGAATATGTCAAGTTTAAATACCTCGACTATTTGAATAACCAACAGGGGCAATAGGATCAGCTTGTCCGAAATACACTGCTTGTAACCTACATTATTTTGTACATGTAACCTACATTATTTTGTACTGCATAAAGCAAATTTGTATTTATATCTGCACAAGTGAGACTAGCAGAAGAGTGAGCTAGAGGAGACTAGTGGCTAGAGCAACCAAAGACCTAGTTAGAGAGAACAAAGTAGGAAGAGATGTTGCTACTGAACTCCATGAAGCAGTAATTGTTGAAACCTAACAGTTTTCTTCATTTTTGTTTTTAATTCATTGGTTATTTCCCACCAAGATAAGGCGACCCAAAGAAGAAAACACATTACTGTAATTTCCTCTTCTTATCTGGAAATCAATTACAATGAAAAGGGTGGCCAGTCCCTGACACTTTAGTCATCTTCTACAACACGTGTGGCTTATAAGGGAAGGATCTGAACCTGCTTTCCCAGAGGGAGACAAAAGTACACATATGGACAAAACAGTGATATAGTATGACACTGAAAAAACGAAAAGTTAGACTGGAAGAGACAGAGAATCTGAGGACCATACAGTACAGTAGTTGGGCAGACAAAATAAGGAGTGATAATGTTATGAAACAAAAAATTCTCAAAATTTTAAAACTATGGAGAGTCAGTGTGGAAAGGAATAATGAGAATGTGGTGGAGTATATACGAGCCAAAGGAAAAAAAAAAAAGCCCCCAAAAAAGAATGTAGGTGAACACAGAGCGAGAGAACATGAGATAACACTGGACGAGAAGTGGTATAAAGGAACAACAAGTGTTAGATAATATGACTGTTTTGTGACAATTTATCCCTGCAACAGGGATGCCTTAATGCTAGTGAAGGGCTCTTGCTTCAAGGAATCAGAGCTATCCTCCCGATTACCCTCCAATCCTCCAGTACCGCATGACCCTTGAGGTGTCATGTAGTTCATCTATGAGAGCATTCGACTTGCAACTTCAAGGGCCAAGGTTCAATTCCCTGGCACAGGGAAACCTATGGGAAAGTTTCCTTACACCCTTTAAGTCCCTGCCTAACTAGCAGTAAAAACAGTTACTTATGCATTAGCGTTTAGCCAATCCTTGAGGAACACATCCAGGAAAATTATTAGAAAACCCCAGTTCTGCTGGAATATCATTTCATGTGTAAGGGCTCCAGTCCCATGTAAGAAAGGATCCCAGTCCTGCATAAGAAAGGATCCCAGTCCTGCATAAGAAAGGATCCCAGTCCTGCATAAGAAAGGATCCCAGTCCTGCATAAGAAAGGATCCCAGTCCTGCATAAGAAAGGATCCCAGTCCTGCATAAGAAAGGATCCCAGTCCTGCATAAGAAAGGATCCCAGTCCTGCATAAGAAAGGATCCCAGTCCTGCATAAGAAAGGATCCCAGTCCTACGTAAGAAAGGACCCCAGTCCCGTGTAAGAAAGAACTCCAGTCCTACATAAGAAAGAACTCCAGTCCTGCATAAGAAAGGACTCCAGTACCTGCTGGAAACATTTAGGCATTGAGTAAAACATATTCTTTCAATGCCCTGGATCTAGTGATATTAATAAAAAGAACAAAATGACCCTCATGTGTTTAGTGCTTCCTCATAAACATAATAATTTTAATATTAATATTACTAATAACAAAATTTATATGCAGTACATAGTCTATGAAATTATTTGAACACTTACAAGGTGCTACCAAAAAGTTCCCAGACTTGAATTTTTGTGCACTTCCTGGGTGAAATATGGCAGCAGCATAGGTCACACTGCACAATACACTTCTTTGTGAGGTAGCATGGCCAGTTTCAGTGTGGTCGGTAGTTCAACTGAAACTAGACTGTGTTGTTGTATTTTTGAGTACAACAGAATGTAATCTTTACAAGAATGAACAGCAAGTGTGTGTGAAATTCTATTTCAAACTTGCTTTCTTCAGCAAGCATTAAGCAATGAAGCAATGAGTTGGATACAGTGTTTTGAATGGTTTTCTCGATTCAAAGCAGGACGAATGTCAGCCGAGGATGATGAATGCTCTGGTCATCCATCAATGTCAAAAACAGATGGTAACATTGAAAAAGTGAGGAGGGCCATTTATGTAGATGATCATAATACCAAGGTCACTGCAAGTGCTGTAGAAATTTCTTAAGGGTCGTGTCAAAACGTTGTGATTGAAAATGTTAACATGGGGTGAGTGGCTACAAAATTTATGCCCTGGTTGCTGACTCATGACCAGAATGACTATTGTTTTCTTGCCAAAAACAACACCAGGGTCATCTTCTACCCTCTCTACTCCCTAGATCTAGCCCCTCATGACTTCATTCTCTTCAGAAATAAAAATGGCACTCAATGGACGGCATGTTAAAGATTTAGAGGAGATTCAAGCAGATTTGCAGGCTGTGCTAGACACTGTTAGGAAAGAAGAGTTCCAGAAATGTCTCAAGATGTGGCAGAGACACTGTAAGCTTATGTATTGTTTCATAGAAGTCCAGGAACTTTTTGATCACACATCGTATTATGGGTATTTTGCTAGTGTAGCTGTACATTAATAGTTTCATGTCACATGTTTTCTTATTATGTGCTTACTCTGTGCCTCCCCACCCTATGAATATTAACCTCATTACATATAAATAAACACTCACTTCCACCTCAAATAAAAGCGTGGAGGCAGAGCTACCTGGATACATCTGACATAAACGAGTCAATGCTATATCTGCGTTTAATGTTTTAGCCTGATGCATTAAGGCAGATAAATGTGAACAAAGACACAAGTATGCAGAAGAAGCCTTTATCTGGATGACATTTTGTTTCGGAGTTTTTCCAAGATTTCATGTTACAAATTTTCCTCATTATCTCCTTTAGAAAGAAGTTTGATTAAAAGCTATTATTATTGTTTGTCTACACAATATGACATCAATTCTGTTATTTCTATATGCATTCATTTTGGCCCCTAAACTCAATGTTTAGTTTGTTCCACAGTTGTGGGACAAGTTGTGGTTACCAAACATGGCTCTCCAGATACTCCGTGTTAATGACTTGAAAAACTTTTATTTAGAGCGAAACACTGTCCAAATTAAACCTCATTCTGCATCCTTGGAACTTACACTGACAGCATAGAAAAAGGTGAATTACTGAAGTCACAGTTTGATTCTGTGATCAGTGAACCATTAACCATTCAAAAGACTGACACTCCAAATGAGATTTTCAAGAGCGAGACCCAATCATTGGAACTGTAAATCTTCCAACTAATTAATGGCTTACTGGTCACCAGAGTCAAACTGACTTCAGCAGCTCACTCATTTCTTTGTCATCATCAGTGTAAGTTCCACCTCCACTAAGCAAGGGCCCAATACCAGGTGTTTGGTCACAACCCGGTTAACCTTATGCTCCCCAACTAAGACACTCAGATGGTGACCTACCTGACTCTTGAAGATACCTGTACACCAGGAAGTTCACCTCGTCACTTGTAATGCTCATGGTGAATCTGTAAAGAAACAAGTCACCTAAATTCTAATTCAAAACCATAACCGACTGTGTATTTTTGCGAGTCGAGTTGTGTATTTTCTTACGGGAATTTTTAAAAAATTTAAAATACAAAGGATCAAGTATTTTCTCATGTTACTTAGACTCCTTAAAAACAGACATATGCAGTTTATTTGCTGTATTATACTGTAGCCAAGAAAATAAGATCTTGCATAAAGTTGCAGGAACAGATGTAAGAGCAATAGTGGAAGAACAATTAAGGCATATAGGTCTACATAATTATTTAACCCTTAAACGGTCCAAACAGATCGACGTTCAAATTTGTAGTGCTACAAAACTAGATTACAGTGGACCCCCGCATAACGATGGCATCACATAGCGATTTTTCCGCATACCACTTACTTTTATCGCAAAATTTTTGCCGCGCATACCGATTAAAAACCCGCTCACCGATTTTCGTCCGAGACGCGTCCAATGTGCCCTCACATGTGCCGCCCGTCCCATTGTTTACCAGCCAGCCTCCGCGGTAACATCCAAGCATACACTCGGAATATTTCGTATTATTACAGTGTTTTCGGTGCTGTTTCTGGAAAATAAGTGACCATGGGCCCCAAGAAAGCTTCTAGTGCCAACCCTGTGTAAAAAGGGTGAGAATTAGTATGGAAATTAAGAAAGATTTTGAAGGGTTTGGGGCTAACCCTGAGAAGCCTATGCCAGTTGTGGAATCCATTGTGCCTACTTCAAAGATTAAGGAAATGTGTTGCACAGTGGGTTGAACTGCAAACCTTTATAGATGAAATCACCCTGACACAGCTGTTGCAAGCCGTGCTGGTGACTATTTCAATGACAATGTTGTGGCCCATTTTAGACAAATCGTAAAGGAACGGGAGGTACAGAGCTCTATGGACAGATTTGTTGTGCGACAGAGGTCCAGTGACTCTCAAGCTGGTCCTAGTGGCATTAAAAGAAGAAGGGAAGTAACCCCGGGAAAGGACTTGCTACCTCAAGTCGTAATGGAAGGGGATTCCCCTTCTAAACAGTAAGAAGATAATGCTCTCCCCTCCTCCCATCCCATCAATCATCACCAGATCTTCAATAAAAGTAAGTGTCATGTAAGTGTGCATGCCTTTTTCAGTTTGTGTTTATTAAAATTAATATTTCATGTGGTAAAAAAATTTTTTTTTCATACTTTTGGGTGTCTTGCACGGATTAATTTTATTTCCATTATTTCTTATGGGGAAAATTCATTCACATAACGATTATTTCGCATAACAATTACCCCTCTTGCACGGATTAAAATCGTTAACCGGGGGTCCACTGTACTTTTTTTTTACATATTTTCAAATATAACAAAAAAAAAATGTAGATAAAAGTTTTTTTACATGTTTTCACATGTAAAACAAAAAAAGAATCTACATTTTTTTACATATTTTCAGATGTTGAAAAAACGTATATATACGTTTGGACCATTTAAGGGTTAACTAAATAAGAAAGTGTACTAAATATTATTACAAAGACATTAAATAATGAAGTACAGTGGTCCCTCGCTTTTCGTAGTTCTCGGCAATCGTAAATTTCGCCAATCATAGGGGTATTTTTGTATAAACATGGACTCGCTTTTCATAGGTTGACTCGCGAATAGTAGTTCGTCTGGGACACGTATGAACGGTGTGAGCCGGGGCGGCCTCCCTACCCAGCCAGTCTGGCATTGTTTACCAGTGAGTGAAGGTCCCCTCAAGTGCTCCTACGAAATATTTCATAATATTCCACTCATTTTAGTGCTTGCAAGTACTAAATAAGCTACCATGGCTCCAAAGAAAGCTCCTAGTGCCAAGCCTGTGGTAAAGAAGGTGAGAAATATGTACAGTGACAAAGTCTTGGGCCATTTTAGGGAAGTGTTAAAGAGACGCCAGATACAGAGCTCTCTCCACAGTTACTTTGCGAGACAGGACTAGAGTGACTCTCAAGGTGGTCCTAGTGGCATTAAGAAACAGAGAAGAGAAGCAACCCCAGAGAAGCAATTGGTACCTGAGGTGTTGCTGGAAGGGGATTCCCCTTCCAAACTGTAAACAATCCAATCTCTCTCCTCCTCCAGTCTCCCACACACTAAGAAGAATCTCCAATAAAGGTAAGTGTTATGCTGTTAATGTTTCATTCATCATTTCCCATTGTATTGTTTATGTACTACATGTATATTTCATGTAAAAAAATTTTTTGTTTTAATACTTCTGGGTGTCAGGAACGGATTAATTGTATTTACATTATTTCTTATGGGGAAAATTGATTCGCAAATCGTAAATTTCGTTTATAGTAACGGCTCCAGGAACGGATTAATTACGAAAAACGTGGGGCCACTGTACCAGTATTCATGCAGTCTAATTAGCAAGTACATATATTAAGTCAGTGTTTGAATGAGAATATGAAGTTCATACTGTAATTATTATTATCACTGTAGATTCATTGGGAAACACTAAATTCATAGGGATCATACAGCACTTGGGAGAATGGGAGGCATTCAGATTAATTCTAAGGAAGAGGAGCACAGGTTAAATTCCTTTGATCAAGAGCCCCTCACTGGCATCAAAGAACTTACCATGAAGGGGGTATTAAGTAAATAGCCATGTATTATTTCCAAGTTTTTTCATATCTCCTGTGGAATTATTAAATATACAGTGGACCCCCGCATACCGTACGCATCGCATTCCGTTTACATCCGCATACGCTCGCTTTTTTCGCAAAAATTTTGCCCTCGCATAACGCCCAAAAACCCGCTCACCGCTCTTCGTCCGAGGACGGTCAATGTGCGCCCTTAGCCAGGCCATCACATGTGCTGCCGGTGGCATATGTTTACCAGCCAGCCTCCGCGGTAACATCCAAGCATACAATCGGAAACATTTCGTATTATTACAGTGTTTTCGGTGATTTATCTGGAAAATAAGTGACCATGGGCCCCAAGAAAGGCTTCCTAGTGCCAACCCTACAGGAATAAGGGTGAGAATTACTATAGGATGAAGAAGAGATCATTGCTTAGTATGAAAGATGTGGAGTGAATGTCTTCCGAGCTGGCAGGTTTGTACAAGAAATCCCAAATCAACATCGCTACTATTGTGGGCAACAGAAAGGCAATCAGGAAGCTGTTCTTGCAAAGGTTGACTGTGTTTTCGAAACAGAGATCGCAAGTGTGGAAGATGTTGAGAGACTCTTATTGTGTGGATAAATGAAAAACAGGTAGCAGATAGGTCTCTCAAGCGATCATAGCGGAAAAGGCCTAGGAAGTTGCATGAGATTTAATTAAAAAAATGCCTGCAACTAGTGATGATGTGAGTGAAATTTAAAGCCAGCAAAGGTTGGTTTGAGAGATTTAAGAAGCGTAGTGGCATACATAGTGTGATAAGTCATGGTGAGGCTGCCAGTTCGGACCACAAAGCAGCTGAAAAAATATGTGCAGGAATTCAAGGAGTACATAGACAGTGAAGGACTGAAAAACCTGAACAAGTGTTTAATTGTGATTGAAACAGGCCTGTTTTTGGGAAGAAAAATGCCGCCAGCTGGTCTACATTATCAGAGGGAAAGGCCACTCCCAGGACATAGATATGAAAGACAGGCTTACTTTGTTGATGTGTTCCAATGCTAGGGTGTGATTGCAAGTGAAGCCTTTATTAGTGTATCACTCTGAAACTCCCAGACCGTCAGGCAAAAGATGTTCCTCAAGGAGAATTTGTTATGTGTGCTGTGGGGGTCACTAGGGACTTTTTAGATGATCTGGTTAACCATGCATTTGCCCCCAATGTGAAAGATTACCCTAACTGAAAAGAATTAGAACTAAGTGCCTCTGGTGTTAGACAATGCCCATGGTCATCTACAGGAGTGGCAGTGCGACTTTATGAGGACATGAAATTCATTAAGGTGAAGTTTTGCCTCTAATACCACTCCTATCCTGCAGCCCATGGACCAGCAGGTTATTGCAAATTCAAAAAACTGTACACAAAAGCTTCTGTTTGAAACGGTGCTTTGTTTGACATCAGAAACTAAATGACTCTAAGAGAGTTTTGGAGAGAGCACTTTAATATTCTCAATTGTGTAAACCTTATAGGTAGGGCTTGCGGAGGGAGTGACTAAGAAGACCTTGAACTTCTGTTGGAAGAAACTGTGGCCAGTATGTGTAGACAAAAGGGATTTTGAAGGTTTTGAGGATAACCCTGAGAGGATTATGCCAGTTGAGGAATCATTGTCGGACTGGGAAAGTCCTGGGGTGAAGGTTAGTGGGTGATGATGTGGAAGAGTTGGTGGATGAGGGACAATGAAGAACTAACCACTGATGAGTGATAGATCAACTTCAACTGCAGAGGCCAGACCTGAGGAACTGGTTCGAAGGAGGGGAGAGAGAATTGAAGAATTGCCTACTACCAAGGCTTAAGGAAATCTGTTGCAAAGTGGCTTGAGTGCCAACCTTCATGGATGAAAATCACCCTCACTAAGCTATGCAAGCCGTGCTGTTGATTATGTACACTGAAATGTTGTGATACACTTAGGGAAGTCATAAAGAATACGAGAGGTAACAGGCCACTATGGACAGATATGTTGTGACGAAAGAAGTCCAGTGACTTTGACGCTGGTCCTAGTGGCATTAAAGAAGAAGGGAAAGTAACCCAGAAATGACTGGACACATCATGTCTTATTGGGAAGGGGATTCCCCTTCTTAAACACTACACTCTCTCTACCCTCCTCCCATCCCATCAAAATCATTTCATCCAGATCTCAATAAAAGTAAGTGTCATGTAAATTGTGCATGCCTTTTTCAGTTTGTGTGTATTAAATTTAACATTTCATTGTGCTAAAATTTTTTTTTTTTTTCATTACTTTTGGGGTCTTGCACGGATTTAATTGATTTCCATTATTTCTTATGAGGGAAAATTCTTCGCATACCGAACATTTCGATAACAATCCCAGCCCTCTTGCCACGGAATTAAGTCGCTATGCGGGGGTCCACTGTA